AATAAACAACGTATCAAAGTTTGTGTTTCAGACAACAATTTAAATAAACAACGTATCAAAGTTTGTGTTTCAGACAACAATTTAAATAAACAACGTATCAAAGTTTGTGTTTCAGAACAATAGTTTAAATAAACAACGTATCAAAGTTTGTGTTTCAGACAACAGTTTAAATAAACAACGTATCAAAGTTTGTGTTTCAGAACAATAGTTTAAATAAACAACGTATCAAAGTTTGTGTTTCAAAACAATACTTTAAATAAACAACGTATCAAAGTTTGTGCTTCAAAACAATAATTTAAATAAACAACGTATCAACGTTTTGTGTTTCAGAACAATAATTTAAATAAACAACTTATCAACGTTTTGTGTTTCAGAAGTTTTAGTCTATTCAAATTGTGTTTCTTAACAGTACGTGTTCATAATATTTGTGCTTTATGTGCTAGTGTATCATAAATATGTTTAACATTTAAACGATATTTTATTTTATATTATCTATTTTCTTATATTATTAATTAGAAAACACAAACATCCCAAAAAATACTAATAGGAAATATTACATTTTCTTCATCCCTGAACAATAATTAAACATTGCTAAAATTGTGTTTTAGCCCAAAGCTAATAGGCTATTTGCGTTCTGTCCACCGCGGGAAATCGAACCTCGGATTTTAATGTTGTAAGTTTGTAAACTTACCGTTGATCCACCAGGATATAATTTACGATACTGAGTATGCCTGATTTGATTGGTTGTTTATTCAATCATTCTTATGTAGCAATGTCTGGTTGTCAAAGCTTTACCTTATCTCATTGGTTGATTTTCAAATCCTCGTGACTTATGAGAATTCTGTTAAATTTTATTAGACTGTCATTGAACGGCTATTAAACAATTCTCACATCTTATAGGTTAACTATTAAATCTTTATTAGGTCTCACAGATTGGTTATTAAACTTTTATTACATATCATATACAGCTCTTAGTTTACTTTACTTTCACGGTGGGTGGTTTTTAATTCTTCCTAAATTATGATTGGTGGTTTTTAATTCTTCCTAAATTTTGATTGGTGATTTTTAATTCTTCCTAAATTCTGATTGGTGGTTTTTAATTCTTCCTAAATTCTGATTGGTGGTTTTCAATTCTTCCTAAATTCTGATTGGTGGTTTTTAATTCTTCCTAATTTCTGATTGGTGGTTTTTAATTCTTCCTAAATTCTGATTGGTGGTTTTTAATTCTTCCTAAATTCTGATTGGTGGTTTTTAATTCTTCCTAATTTCTGATTGGTGGTTTTTAATTCTTCCTAAATTCTGATTGGTGATTTTTAATTCTTCCTAAATTCTGATTGGTGGTTTTTAATTCTTCCTAATTTCTGATTGGTTGAGTATGGAACATTGTTAAATATCATTGGTTGGCAATTAGATTATAAATGACTTTACAAATCATATCACGAAACTGTACAAATAAAATGTAAATGGCCACGATATGATGATTTTATTGTACACGTACTATTTGTTCAATCATTAAGAAAACTAATTTTACACGACAGACAGTAGCTGGAATCTATCATTACTTTATTTACATATTACAGATGGAATTATTTTGTGAAAATCACATACAAGATTTAACAGAATCTTATAAATAATAACAACGTACAGTTTACATTAATTTATAAACACTGATGTTATTATTTTATTGACTAAATTAATAATAAAATCTTCGGTGTTTGGAATATTCAACCAATATTGTTACAAACACGAACTGTCGTCATACAAAAACGTTAACTATAGTATTTTCTACATTAATTAAATGTATTTTTAATATACAAACGTTCTCTGATGATATAGCAATACTGTTTATTATCTATTACGTTGTTTTATACGCACGTGGTTTCGAAAATCGTGACGTAGGCAAATGTTAACTTAATTTATTATAATCTAAACCCATTCTTGCTTCGTTTGAACTAAAACAAAACGAAATATTTAGTTTTTGTTGTTTTTGATTATGCACAAAGCTACACAAGGGCTATCTGTGCTCTGCCCACCACGGTTTCTAGCGTTGTAAATCCGCAGACATGCCGCTGTGCCACTGGGGGGCCAAAACGAAATAAAATAAATGAAATGAGAGGAAAAGTGAAATTTGAAATTATTTCTGCAGGTTCGTACAACCATCACCTGGTCTAATTAAAACAAAGGACAAAAAATAAATTTAATGTTAAAGCTTCTTTAAAAAAATATGAATATTTTTATAGCGTGTTCATACATTAATTCATAACAATATATATATTATTTTACATAGATTATTTGTTTGTTTTT